TAAAGAAAAAGAAAATAAAATTGTAGAAACCAAGTTTATTAAATATTGTTTTGTTTAATTATTTTGCTGTGTAGTGCTTTTATACATACATGTAGTATAGAAATCTGTACTTACATTCTTCGGTAGGCTTTTTTCTTTTTTTGTTTTTGTGGGATCTTGCTCACATTGTCAGGATGACATCGTCGATGCTGCTCTTCCATCACACATTTCAATCTATCTACCCTTTTTCTTATACAGGAATAGGTTCTGTTGAGCTCATTTACTTCATGATGTATACTTTCAATGCCTTGTTCACCTAGAAGACCAACCCCTGTTCTATAGCGTCTTACCCACTCATACATGTGATCCTCAAGAAAGTGGAGTTTTGGAAGAATGCTTGCTTTTGGGAAAAAAATGACGATACAATGCCATAAACAATGCAATGTCAGATTCTATAAAGGAACGAAAATAGGTTTATATATTATATACGTGTACATGTTGTACCATTGTTATTAATTTTTGATATTTACTATGTACGTAASATAGAATTTATGTTCTTGTTAGCATATGTCAGAGATAGTGTGACCCTAGATGTAGGGCTAATTTATTTTGTTTTTTTTTCCCTGGAAGCTTTCAAACAAAAAAGTCAGCAATGTAAACAGCAATAGTGTCAGCAATTATAACCTACACAGCTTTGTTCATTGTCTTATGCACTTTGTTGTATGATGATAGTATTTGTGAAAATTGATCATTGACCAATTCTGCCTCTGAACATTCAATRCCTAGTTCCTTGCAAACATCTAGAGCTACATGTGCAAGTAACCTGCTGTTTTTGTCCTTAAAAGTAAAGATCTAGTGTCAATAAAGCTCAGTAAAGTAACATTGATTTTAAAAACAAAGTAGTTATTACTGCTAGTATTACACTAACAATACCTTGAGACATTTATCAGTGTGATTTCCGTTGAAACTTCCACCKTGGTATGCTTGTCTCTGTGCACCAATGTCCTTTAAAACTGTTTCTAGTTTCTTAGAACATGGTCCATCGCCAATCTTGAGAGTGGTTCTTTGTAATTCTGCTTGCTTATTCTATGTAATTTTTTTTTGCAATTTATAACATGAAAAGTAAGCACAACACAATACAATGTATTATTTGATACATGTATGTAATTGCTTGTGTTGTGTACAGATTTACTTACCAACTCTTCAGATTGAAGGCGTAATTGTTCTGCTTTTTTTAGAAGACTGTCATTATTCGTGTTTTAATGAAAGATTCCAAACATTGCATCATTCTCACAATCTAGTTGGTGCAATGATATATAAATTATTATACTTGACAATAACATAAATTATTTTCATAGAGCATTGTGTAAAATTTGCTTGTTGTTCTAATTAAATCCCAATTACCTCTTGCCTCTTCAATCAAAGTGCTGGCCTTGGCTATTGTTTCCTCATATACTGAAATATTTTCTACAAATTCTTGAAAAGCAAGGCTTCAGTCTGCATTTTCAGGAGATAAAAATATTTCAAAATATAAAAATATAAAAACATGTATATAGTGACATTACATGTACATGTATGTTTATAATACTGTTTCAAGTTCTATTTTAAGTACTGTAGTTGAAGACATAAATTAAAAAAATGAAATAGAATATTAGATACATGTAAATTACATGCAAGTTTGATCAAGCCTTACGTTCTTATTTGATTTTGCCAGGTCATTAGCTATTTGTAAGTCCACCCTGTGAAGTGCTTGCTGAAGTAGTTCATACAGCCTATTGAATATACCAATGCTTMTGTGCAATCCTGGCAGACAAACCTGTTTTCATAAAACTCTTGGTAAGTTGTGAAAGCTCTACATTTAAAGAAAGTTCAATGTGCATTGCATGTGATTTCATTGTTTATATGATATCACCTACTTGGTCTATTGGTATATTAATAAGTGGTGGCCGGATTGCATTSTTGTACAATTTTGCTTTGGAATGCGGGGACCCATTTGCCTGGTATAAGTTGTTGTCTTTACGTAATGAATCTAAAGTTCGCAAAGCTGATTGAGGTCTGTCAGATTTTGGCAGTGCCATCTGTGATTGGGTTACTTCACACCACAGACAAGGATGTCGTCCTGAAATAAAAGTATTTTATTCTGTATATTTTTCATAGTTCAAATTCAGATTTTGATGGTCCCAATAATAAGTTGATGTTCTATTTACTAACCACTTGCACCAGAAATTCCATATAAGTCACACAAAAAGGCATAGTCTCCAAAAGCGAATGTTTTTACTTTGTATTCTCTGAAAATGAACATTAGGTTTATAAGTACTGTATGATCCTACATGTATTGTATGAAAAAAGAGCACAAACAC